TAATTGAAATAATTGAAATCGGTTCAATTATTTCAGTTATTTCGAGAATTATTTCAATTATTAATATTCTTACTAGTCGTATAGGGAAAGAATAGGGCGTCAAATAGACCCTAGAGGCGCCTCTCTCTCATATATATATATACATATATATATACATGTATGTATGTATGTATGTCAGTGTATGTATGTATGTATGTATGTATGTATGTATATATATATGTGTGTGTGTGTTTGTTTATTTACTTGTGTATTTGTGTTCTTCAGATATATTTTTATATATTTGATAAATTATTTATCTATTTACATATTTATATATTTGTGCATGTATTTCTTTATGTATGTATTCATTTACGTACACAATCTCACATGCTCGCAAGAAGCTGACAACAGTTTTGGAAAGGCTTTGCGGCATCTGCATGCAATGACCTTCTATACCTGAAACAAGCTGTCCCGAGGCATGGTGAAAGTCAAGCGCTTACGCTCTTCTTTCATCTTCGTGTACTCCGGACTGGCCCGTCGAAGTTCCAACGTCCAGTTCTCGCCTGTCTGAACAGGATCACGTGACAAAAGAGCTCTTAAGCCATACGAGCACGGAGTTCCTCAGGATCGGACAGAACAAATCGAAGTCGAATATTTCTTCGAGGTTTACGGTGCATCTGTACAGCGCGACATCAGCCACTGACTTGGCTTTCTTTTTGTCGGCCATTTGCTTCCCTTAGTGTCAATGCACTTTCTGGTTCAAGATGGCCAAAGCAGACATCGAAAAGCATGGATGAGCATCCGTCAGCACCACAGACGACATGAGTTGGCAAGGGACTTGGAACATGGCCGTCCGGCAGCAACAACATTTACGGTCATGCTATTTCCCCACGCTCCTACCCTCACCAGCTTCGGCTGACAGGGCCGGGGGCTAAACGCATGAAAAGCACTCCCTTACCATTAGCGTTCATAGACCTGTACACAGACCCTTCTGCTTTCCCTGTGTCCGTCTGTGAAACCCCTCAAAGGTTGGACTCAAAAAGAGCCCCTACATGAAACTGGCATAGGTGGATCTCTATGTAGAAGCGTGTATAGTTCCGCATCTCCTGTTGACCCCTGCAGCAATGCAGGTACCGGCTCTGATCGACATGGAATCTTCCACCGTGGCGGGAAAACGCGACTGCAGATTGTGGTCCCGATAGCGCCGGGTCTGCGCGAGTATGCACGGGTATGCGCGGGTATGCGCGAGTATATGCGCGGGTGTACGCGAATATGCGAGACTTGTATAGGTACGAGCGAGTATCAGATTTTACACAGTGCATGTTGTATACTAGTGAATCGCATATCCTTTACCATGTAGGTTGTATGTTTTAAAGTGGTTACCATGGTCTGTGTTTTCTGACAGCCGCTATACATTGTGGTGCCACTCCGGCGGACTCGAGCATATTGGAGCATATTCGAGCGTAGTTGAGCGTAGTCGAGCGCACTCGAGCGTACTCGAGCATATACACGAGTGCTCGGACTGCAGTCGCCCATCGCGTCCGCAATGGAATCTTCGATCCACAGACACCAATCTGAGTGACGGTACTTACTTCCCTACACGCTGTCACGTATTGCTGACGTCAGTTGCTTGCACCGTTGCGGCTTGGCTCTTCGTTTGTATAGTTTCAATTCTGAGGTTCCCACAAAACCGATTCCTGAAATTCCACAGCACGCAGACCGGTAATTGGCCACACGTTCATGCAAAGCGAAAGTTCTTCAGGAGAACGGGGGAGTGGGCAATCATGGGCAATCTTCTCCCCGAGATCTTGACAAGGCTGTATTTGTCTCATGCGAACCCCAAGTCTCGCTCTCAGTCTTCAGCTCGCGCACCACTACCGTACAAGGCGCAGGGTCTGCCAGGCTGCCGACAAAATAGCAAAGTATGAGCAAGATTTCTCTCAAGTACTCGTGCAATATCGCACAACGCTCGCAAGGCAGACTCTCAGGAAGCATATGGTGTCACGTTCGAAGTGCATGCCGACCCTCTCCCAACACATTTATTGAATCGACACGACAGCAACTCTCATCTGAAATTGACATCGATCGCACCCCTCCCTGTCGCAATGCTTGTCACAGCTTCATCCACAGGGACCTGTGCCCTGCCCGGCCCTGCCCTCTCTAAAGCGAAATGCTTCTGAGACTTGCGAACGTAGCAGGCACACAGTCCCACAAACCCCGCCCCAAACAGCTGCCACCCGAGACTAAGCAAGCAGAGGGCCCGATAAACCGACCGAAAAAATCTGAAATACCCGTGACTGTTTCGAGCTTGCAAGCTCGTTGGCCCCTTTCCGTCTACTGTCATTTCGTCCATTTTGTCGGCCTCGCAAGCCATTTTGCTGGCTACATCCATTTGAAACAGACGTCAGGTTGCATCTGCGACCGCGCAGTTCTTGTTTCGGGCGTTGGGCGACAAACTTTGGTCCTGACCGCTACCTCGATGTCTTCGACCCCGCACACAGACAACATTCAATGGAAGATGGTTGGATAGCATATTTCTCGTCAGTTAGTTTGCTTTCTTCTTTGAGTTCAGTGTAGCAAGCTGTAGCCCTGGACTGTCAAGAAGTGCTCGAGAAGGAGCAAGCAAATGCAGACAATGCACGAGATAGCTTTCTCAAGATGCGTAGCTCCATGTTCGGATCGCGATTCGCAATGAGAGACAGCTTTTGCTTCTTCAGGCCAAAGTATTCGTTGAAAGTCCAGCAGGACACTCTCCACATGTCGACCTTGACCACATGCTTGTCCAACTCCTGGCCACATGCTCTCCCGCTGTGCATGATATGCCCTATCATAGCCAACAGAGCAGCAATTGCATTAGTGAATGGCGGCAAACCTGCACATTCCATGCTAGAGTGTCCGTAGTCTGAGAAGGCATACAACCGACCTTTTGAGAAACCCAGCAAGAAAACAAGTGCAGTGGCCTTTGGCTGCACATGTTTGGACAATTGGGCCTTGTAGGAAAGTGCGAACGTCTTCCTCTCGTACATCAATATTGGATTGTCTGCCGTGAAGACTTTGCCCTTCTCCAGCGTGAAGATAGACGAAAACTTCGTTTGCAAGCGCACCTCAGATGAATACCACTTCCCACTTGCCGAACGAAGCCCACAGCAACCATGCGCTGCGGTTCCTTGCGCATTCTATGCTCCGGCACTACTCAGGCGGCCATTTAGGCAAGCATCTCGATTGCGATGCTTCTTGGGATTTTCGCTTCCCAGCGACACAGTCCAGAAGAGCTTGAGGGTCTCAACTGTAACATTTTCAAAGCCCCTGATGGAGAAGGTTAGCTCCCACCATCGCATCCTGTCCATTGGCTCCCTTGTTTCCTCGGGATCCTCCTTCCAAAATGCTCGCTTCCGGCTCAAAAATACAGACTCCGTGTCGCCGCAAGCAACTGGTCCTCGGCTTTGCCGAACTTGGGGAGGCGTAGCCTCATCTTCCTGATGCGGTGCGAACCGTGCTTCATGGCCTTTCACGCGCTGCCCGCGCGCACGTACCAGCACTTATGACGCAGCAAGCATCCGATTTTGAGCGGCGCCAGCTTTGGGGCCTGCTGCTGCATCACCTGCACGGCTACTGCAGCATCTCAGAACTGCCTGAAGCTGCCCGAAAAACCTGCCCTGCCTTCCTCAGCCTCCTCTGTTCCCTGGACATCCTGTCCTCCTTGCTCGGCAGCCTCACCTCGGCTCTCGCTGGTTTGTTGGTTGCATTAAAGGCTTTTGCCTTCTGCATTGCTGAAACTTAAGTCGCATGTTCAACAGCTTCCTTTTCGAAAGCAGCCGTGACTTGACATGTTTCCAGCTGCAGGCGATAAGAGAACAGGCAAAACGATGTCAGGCTAGGGAAGGGAACCAATCAAATGTCCACTGTGCCAGATCCTTACCAAAGTCGACGCGCGGCCGCTGACGCATGTTCAATCGCCAAGCCAGCGGATTCAACAGCAGCAACAACAGGAACAACAAGGTACATCCCCACGAGGCTCATTTCTGAGCTCGAGTGGAGGCGCTCTGCAATCGGCAGACACTCCCGTTCCAGGGCTGCAAGGCCTGTACCACATCGACAACGCCTTGCAGCGTTACGACCGGCATTCCCACACAGCCGCCCGAGTAGCCTTCCACATTGTATGATCCACAAGTGGCCACTGTTTCGGGACACGGTGAAAGCAAATATGAAAGAACAGGCCGAACAATATATAGTTCAAGCAGATGTGGACGTGCCGATTGCAAAGGTTTGAATTGCCACAGGTAGCACGTCCGAGCGGCCATCGGCATCACCACCAGCTTCCAAATCGACATCAGAGTCTCTTGCCTGACAAGTAATGTGGCTACTTCACGGGCGTTCTACAATCGGGACTGCATTTCATTCCCAGCCTCATTCGGATCCTTCTTGGCTCTGCTAAACAAGCCCATGAGTTGTAACTCGCCCTACTGCTTTGCATAGATACTTCCATCCAGCAATGCCGTCAGCCACTAGCTGCTGTCTTGCATGGTATCTCACACAAGCATATAACTGTTTTGATTGGTGTCCACGATGAAATGCACTTAGAAGTAGCATTGTTGAAGGTGAACAACACTGCGGGTCTCACATTCCTTTGGAATGCCCCATCCGAACAAACATGCTTGATCTCCCGTCTTGCAACCGGAAACGCCCGGGCATTCACCTTTCCCACAATCGTTTAGAGGTTGCTTGGCTTAGGGCTTGATGGAATATGACTGGGCTGACTGATGCGCATTCTCGTCTAGAATGTAAGCAATGCCCGCAAGTTCAGCGAGCGAGCATGAGGAAGTCGTCTTTCACCGCAGCATCGTTGGTACTTCCAGGTGCGGTCGACATTCAACGCTTAGGCAAGGCAGTGCGCAAATGCAATGATGTTCCACTGCAAAGCATGGATTTCATAGGTGGTGTGCACTGCCGCCGAAAAATGCAGGCCGGAAAAGTATGACATGATAAGAACCAGGCTACCAGAATACATTGAAGAAACACACGTCTTTCCTCCATATTCACTTTTGAGGCAGCCCCAGCTTGAAGTCGTCGAGCGAGAGGGGCAGCGGTCCCGGCACATCGTAAACTTCTTTGTCGGGCCTGCTTGCAACAGGACTAGATCCTCAGCAAGCTCTTTTTAGACTGTTGCTCCCACCATCATTTACCGAATGTGTCGCATGAACATGATGGCACGCTCGATCACTGTGGCGACGGAATCCTCCCACCGAACCCGGCACCTTCACACTGTGACAATCCACTTGTGCCAAACCAACATCTGCTCAGTGCCGAGGGATCCCCGACTTCTGAAGACGGAGGCTACACGGCACATGGGCAGTTCAGCCAGCTAACTTGGTAGATGTGGGGTGGGACTGGGCTGTCTAGCGCAACTTGTTGACATGGAACTTAGTAGCCTGGCGATGTGGGCTGACACGGGGACACGAATGGGGCTTGCTACATGTGCTGGCATGGACACATACAAGCTGAAATGGTTATGATTAGTCATCCTCACTAGCTCTGCAACTCAGTGATTCAGTCCCTGCGAACCCTACAGTCGGGTAAAGCCAGGGGAATGCCGAGGTTGTTGCACTCTGATGGTGCTCTTTTGGGCCCAAGGCCATGTACCGGGCCTGAGTCTGGCCAGCATGGCCTCAGCTGCAAACACTAAGCCACCGGCTGCCACTCACCACCCCAACAAACCCGTGTGAGTCGTCTGAGGTTCGGGCGCCACAATCACGAAGCCCAGCAATGACGTATCCTTATACCAATCGCAAACATGCGAACACTTGGCAAACGGAGTCGTAATGCCTCACGCCTTGTACTGGCCCCTTCCAAACCTAATATTTGACCGGTGCTGTGTCAGCTAAAGCCGACTGCACCATAAAAAAAAAGGCCGAGGATCTCGTTTTGCCGCGGAACCAAGGAAGTAGTGGATTTCGAGTTCTTGCCTGGCTGAGTGCCAAGCAACATCTATTTTCAATGCGTCCAGTATTGCTAGCAACTATGACGGATCCGTCACGTGCCATGTGTCCGAATTGCCACAAGCCGTCTGCATGAAGGCGCCGCCTTTCCAAAGAAATAAATTGTTTGACCTGCCCAAACAGGCCTGAACCTGCATCTTACAGGGCTCGAAGATGCGTTTCGATTCGCTTCGAGCTTCGAGTTCGGGGAAACGAGTCACAACGGTTTTCACGCGGGCCCGAATGGTTTCTACAGGCCCTGAACCAGACATGTCCACTTAGTTAAAACATGGCTTACTTGAGTAATCGCACACGATGGTACAGGTGAATAATTTGTTAATAACAAGAAACCAACGGCGACTGAAGCACCCACACTTAACAGATTCGAGGCGCGACTCAACTTGCAAGCAGGACCATGCTTGCCCCAGCCATGACCACTGTGACTTCTCTGGAAGTGCGACGGAAACCTATGGATCCTGAGGCTTGGCACACCGTGAACCTTCCACATCAAGCCTTTACCGAATTGTGCGCGGCAAGGCCATCCGCGCTTGATTCTGAACTTCAGCTTTGGAGTCTGTCAAGGTGGTGTTACGCCTGTTACGCGGCTCGGTGCGACAACACGCGATGCAGAAATGGCACGACTGACATGCCGATCGAGCCATCCTTGCCGGATCGCTTTCAAATGCTTTCAAGGCAGGGCGCCTTGAACATCTCAAAGGTTTTACCAGCGCCACTGTTCAGAGGATCCGTTGCAGCCACTGCACCTCGCACAATCATGGTCTTCCACGGTCAGCTAACCACTTCTTCCATCAGTACACATGTCACCAAGATTGAAAACTCTTTCCGTGGCCAGGTACACACTGCAGCAACATCGGCTCGAGCCACGTTTCCCACATAAGTGTCGCCCTGGTTGAACCTCATGCGATGACGCGTGTGCAGCTGGTAGGGTGCCCAGTCGGTACTGCTGCCAAGGATACTTTGGCTTAGGACAGAACTGCAGCTCCAAGAAACCATCTGCTGGGTCTGTGGTCAACCCGCCTGGTCTTACCTTGGAAAATTGCAAGAGCACAACGATTCTTGCGACATGTCTTGAAGCCGATGCCCAAAACGAGCTCCTTGCAATCGTGTATGATGACCTGAATACAAAATCAAACCCAAACCGGCCGAAGTCAGCCGGAGATTGCATGGCTTGCCTCTGGCTCTAAACCTGCTGAGCCGCCTGCTCACTTCCTTGTAACATCTCCTTGATCCGATTTTCACCCTGACGGCAGCCCATCCAGAGGTGCATCCACAATCAGCGTCGCCATTCTGGCCTCCAGCTTCTCGTTCAACACTCCGGACCCAATCCTCGACAGGATCTTGGTTATTTATGTTGCTCCTTCCGGACACTGAGCATCCATGCACTCATCTTGGCTCCGAGCGTGTTCAACAAAATTCCAACCGGAGCGTACGGTCTAGTTACCGATGCGCTGCTGACAACGATGAGGCGCTCGATTTTGTCTTGAAGAACCACCTGCATGTGGAAGCAGGCGGCCTTCACACTACCAATAACCAATACAGTTTCGAAAAGCCGCCTTCGCACAGTTGACCAAGCCCTCCTGAGCAGGGAAGAACGAAGAAGGAGAACACAGAGATGCATCCGCCGTACTTACATGGTTTGGACACATTTCGGTGCCGTGCATTGTCCACATCTTTCGGCTCTGTCTTGCCACGCGAATAAGCGGCCTTGGTCATTCACCAAGTCCGCATTAAGAGTGTGACAGACGACTGAGAATCAAGCAGCAAAAACCACGGCTGACACGCCCGCCAAAGCTGCAACCAGAGACGATGGATTCGTGACATCTGCCTGGGACGTGCATCGACATCCTCTTTTGGCCGAGAAGAAGGTCACAAATCGCTGCCAGCCTGGCGAACTCCGACGTCCTTGGTGCTGTCATCCTGTCAGGCAGCGTCGCTCGCAAGTCCCACGATCAAGCCATGCTCGCCATAAAACGTCTGTCCATCGCATTCCAAGAACCGCTTCGGGTTACGGCCACCGGCTTGGCCAAACCATCTTTCAGCAAAGCCTCGCGACACATCATGGGTTGTTGGGCGTGGGTAGAGGTCACTCCACACCACATAGTTTCCGCACATGTATTGCGAAGGCCCTCTTGTCTCCGCCTCGACGACTAGTGAACCCGTTCGGCCATTGGCCCCCACAACCGCTACTGTCGGCCTGCCGGTGCGACAAACAACATGCCTGAGGCAAAACAACCTTCAAGACCATATCACGTAATCACCAACCACATCATCCAAGCCTCGAATCCTCGCCGGCGCTTGAGCTCGCGTGTGTTGCTATGCACCTTGGCAACCACTTCTGCGGATTTCCTTGGCCGATCCAAGCACCTGGGATGACAGAATGCCGCCGTTCGATGCCAATGTCTTACTGCTGCCGCGGAAAAGCTTGCAAACAAAGCCACGAGAGCTGACCAGTCCGACCACCAAGCCAAGCAGCACC